TAACGCTAAACGGTATGTATAAAATTACTGCAATAACTAAAGTTGTGAAGATTTATATGCATATTGCATGCAAAAACCATTTGCATTTCAATGAAATGGAAGAAAGACACATTCTCAGTTGTCTCAGAAGTTCCTGTTTTACCGAAATTTTTACACAAGTGAACACCACTCTGAAAATCTTCACCGTTTGAGTTAGAAACAGAACTAGAACTTATATTGACAAATAGAATTCGCCACTTTTTCGGATCTAATAATAGACAATTCATCAGTTGCTTTGACAGGGAGGAAAGGAGTACAGGTGATTGATGCGGCGGGGGGGGGGTGAGTAGGCAGTTTTATATAAATTTCATACTCTTCAAAAATTATTCCTGTTTAATATATGTTACTTTTAAAAGTGCATGGTGCGGGATTCAAGAAATTTTACTATATTTATAGTTATATCTTACCAAAAATTAAAAAAAATCATTACAATGAATTTCCAGTGAAATGAACGGGTACTAGGCTTTTACAACCTTAATATTACTCCGTCATTTAACAACACAAAGACACAAATACATGTTATCCTGGTGAATAGAAACTATGTATAATTTGTAAGGTAGTCACATAGTTATACACAAAAGAAACCATCATGATATAACTTACTAAATGAGCTAAAATAACTAATAAAGCAGCTTGTCTCATCAAAGTTGATTTCCCACCCATATTAGGACCAGTGACAAGAATAACAGAAGCATTGCTGAACATATCAGATAAAACATGATGTTGCGATTGTGAATTTATCAATGATGTACCAAGTTTTATATCATTTGCAATGATATCTCCACCCGAAAATGTATTGATCAGACAAGGATGAATTCCATCAACTATTTCCAGTATTGGCTAATAAAATCGGAATTAAAATCATTATGTGAATAAACTATCAGCAAAAAAAAATGCCGTTATTTGTAAGAATAATTAGTAACAATTTAAATGACGTCTAATAAACGTAAAGTTAACAGGGGTAAATGAAACGAATTCAACAATAAAGAAAACCGACTTCTAAAGCCATAATATTACCACAATAGTGCTTCTGTTCTAAGTAGTGTAGCTCGGTAATCAATGAAAGATGATCTATTTGAAAAAAGCAGTATAGTCGTATCGGGACTTAATAATCATAAGTTCTTTATTGTTTTGTAATAATAACCGTCATGGTTATCTGCATAATAAGATTATTTCAGTCAACCAGTCAGTCAGCTATAAAATAGAACTTCGTACGTACGTACATTAGTTCAAGTTTTCATACCAAATCAGCACACAGAAATCGAATTGTTGATTTTTGCCATGTTTTGGTCTGGCCGCCCCTAGCTTTCTTCCAACCTATTTCTAAACCACAAAACATAGCTCGTCGAGGCAGTCGGTGGTCGGGCATTCGTAATACATGTCCCAACCACTACTTCATCAATTCATCTGCCATCCGTACCTAGTACTCGTTTTCTAACGACAGCGTTGCTTACTCGGCTGACCCAGGATAAACGAGCAATGCTTCGGAGACACCTATGATTGAAGACGAGCAATCTACGAATGTCCTCTACCTTCACTAGCCATGTTTCGCATCCGTATAGTAGGACGGAGCGAACTGCTGAGCAGTACATTTTGGTTAGCAAACGAATAACTCACCTACGCCAAAGGTAACGCAAGTTGGCAAAAGCCAATCGAGCCTTCTGTATATGTGCTGAGATTTCGTCAAACACCAGGCCATCAGCACTGATGAGACTTCCAATATAACTGAAACGGTCAACACGCTCAACTACTTTACTTCCTATCATTAGTTCAGGTGCTGACGCAAGCCAGTCTTGAAGAAACATCTTACATTTTGAGAGGCAGAATCGCATCCCGAACGTGTTTGCATTGTTGCTTAAGGTGTTCAGAAGACTGTAGTTTGTCAGTGGCTTCACCAAATAGAACTATGTCATCGGCATATTCTAAATCAACAAGTGAATCTCCTGTTAAAAGGTCAGCTTCTGAAGAGTCGGGCGATGAAAGTTTCGTTTCTAAAAACATGTGAATGACAAAGTTGAATATGAATGGAGAAAGTGGACACACCTGAAGGACACCACTAGAGCCAATCAATTCCGATGACAGTTCGTCATAAGCTCTCACTCGACCAGTAGTGTTAGAGTAGGGCGCCAATATAGGGTCAATGTACTTCTTTGGTACATCTTTCAGTGACAGACGCTGCCACAGAACCTAACGATCGACAGAGTATTGAGATTATTTATGTACATCACAGTTCGGGATTTTTAGACACAATCAATCATTTGAGTTTTCGATTTCGAAGAATGAAGAATAATACCAGAAGGGACTTGGCTGGTTTTTCTGACGTTCTGATCAATTGGTTAAAAACAGATGGGAACTATTCTGTAGGCTACCAATATTATGGCGTATACAGTAGTCAATGTTACCAGTCTTCGTTAAAAAAGCGTAAGAACCAAAGCAAGATAACCTGTTTAATTAACTAGTTAGTTAACTTATAGGAGAATCATCAGTGATTGAAAATAATTCTCACATTACATGATAGTAATTTCGAACTTTTACAATTAATGCAACAATATCCGTAAATGATAGTAGGTGAAATCAAACATACTTTTGTAGATGAATTTAGATCAATGAATTCTGGGAGACACATCACATCAGAAGCATTTGTACTGTACAAGGACAAAGCAATTAGACAGTCTAGTTCAGCTAGACAGGACATAGCCATATGCCACTGGGTAAATCTAAATATCAAAAAAGACAGGAAAGTAATCTATCATGGATTGTTTTGGGAATTCAATTAGAATTTAAGAAAACAACGGTTGAAGACTACAAAGCTATAGAAAATGTAACAACATTTAAAGTGGACAATAAAATATGGGAGTTAAGCACAACCTTCAGGAGCATAAATTGATAAGAAAAAGAGCACCTCAGCTAGAGTGAAGGCATACAACCACTTTTCTCTATTGTTTAATTCAAGCAGTGGGGTTGGGCAGAGTTGCCTAATTTCACCGTTCCTCCACGTTCTGGAAATAGCTATGATCGATGTAGGAATGATAGTGTGGATCTTCTACCTGAAGAAAGACTTTTCGACCCTGAGTATGCTGAAAATATTGTTTTACTGTGCGATGATTCCTAAACCATACAGTCTGCACCTAATAGGTATTGCATGTGCTGTTGACTTGTGTTGTTGGTACAAGAGTAGCAGGATCTTGAACCTGCACTTACTAGTGAGCAAAGAGAATTAGTGAAAAAGTTCATGTACCTGAGTAACTGAGTAAGTACTAGTGGTTGTGCAAGTGGTGAGAATTCAAGTATAGAGAGGGACAGAAAGGCTTATGCCAATTTGGTGCCTTCGTACAATATGATTATTCAATTAATAATATGATTAGTAGGATGTACACAACGAATTGTGTGCGTCTATAGATAATAAATAAAGCTTGATATAATCGAACAAGTGGTGAAATTAGAAAGCCTTGAAACGAATTACGTAGTTCGTTATAATCATTGGTTAATTGCGCTTTTCAAAATCAATATAATTACATAACTCTATATCACTAACATAACGGCAAAGCTAAGTAATACAACAGTGGTTATTTTGAATAAACAACGTGTCTCATGGGTTGGTATGTCAGTGAAAAGAGGACGAGAGGATATATATATATAGCATAAGTTATAAATTCATTTATAAAGTATACATTTAAATCTATCTGCAATTTCAAGTTGATCAAAATAACAGATAGACCAAAGTTCATAGTATTTTCTGTATGCTTCAAAAATAAGCGACCCTGTTTGTTGCCTCTTGGTAAATCTATTAATATACTTGTACTGTGAATAAACTAGATTATTAAAAGTCATGGCTTGTTTGAAACGCACAAACGAGAGTCATGTAAGGATAAAAAGAGAATGATTAATAGTTCAAAATCACTGAACACTTAATTTACTTTGATTACTCAACTAACTTACATATTATCGCGATCACACCAAGTATCTATTGAACCAAACTTGGCCTTTACAAACAAGAAAATATCCTAGATTTGTCGCCGTTTGAATCGCACATGAGTTATTTCTTTCACTCAGTATTCCCCTATTTGAAATACCCGACCGTACCTGCCACTTTGATGTGGTGATCGGGGTTGCCTATCCAAATGACCCAACCAAGCTATATTCCTTTAGGACCTACCATCCCAGGTAGGTCGACTGGAGAACGGCACGATTAAAAGCAGCAACTAAAGGTCTAAGGGCGATGGCGTACTGCTGACTGTAGAGAGGTGTGGCAGCAGTAAGGTTTCATCCTCGAAAAACAAGCATCTGCAGAGAGGCTACCTTCTCAGAAGGAAGGAAGGGGTTAGAAAAGGTGGACCATGAAAAAGACACACCTTTCCTCATTGATTTCCATCTCTGGTGGTAAAGCCATTTGAAGAACGGGGCGAACACTATACAATCTTTCCATAAAAGGGCCGTGCGCAAACGGCCTCAAGCTGTTGTCGCTTGGGCACTGCAGTCGCGCTCCTAGGTCGCTAAGACCAAGGCTAATCAAATTTCCTTCCAGATGTCTCGATAAATACCCTTCTACGGCGTGGGCAACCAGGAAGTGACATCAGACTTCATGCCCGCAACAGCATACGAGACCATGTCAGTCACAATGAAATCTTTCCTATACCTCTTAATAACTTTGCTACCTCCACGACTAACTCTGTCCACATTCCTTGATCACCTCGCGCTGATGAAGCAAACGCTTTGAGCTCACGAAACGTTATTCCTGGTCTCCTGAAAACCCGTTCTAGACTACATGTTGAAGCATTTAATGTACGGACATTGTATCAAATAGGGCAACAGGCTTCATTAGCTAGGACTCCGGAATCCCATGCCATCGATGTGTAGCGTGTCCGAAACGCTCATACAAGATCCGAGTAAAATCATTAATTCGATTTCATCTTGTGCAGATAGAGAATCAACTCGGTTTGCTCTTCGTGTATCTTGAAACCTCACTGCTGCTTCCGCAGTAGGTAGTTGTAGCATTAGGTTCTAAGGCTGAACTAGCTCTCTCAGACTGGATCGCAGTAAATAGTTGTTTGTGCGTTGTCCGACTAAACGGGACGGTACGGACTAAGAAAGATAGGGACACTCACCGTTGCTTCTTCGTCGTCTCTGCGTGCGCTCCCACTGACTATAGCTCGGGTGAGGTAAAGGATGAATTCTACAGAAAGCTTTCGGAACTCCTTTATAAAGTTAGGCGCTCTGATATAATGATAAAGGGCTGACGACTTTAATGCTAAAATAGGTAGGCTAAGTATAAAGGAAAGACACCTGGGAGGACCTGATGGTGTCGAGGCTCAGAAGACAAATAATGGCGACGATCTGCTGCAGCTATGACCAGATGACATAAGGAAAAAGACATTTTGTCATGGTGACCCCAAAAATTGACCAAACTAGGTAACACTGGTATCAGCAACCGACAGAGAGGTTCAATAGAAGGCTGCCGCTCATTCTCTAGTAAGAGAGCGTATTTGTCTGCATTTTACTGGAGGCAGGAAAGACATAACCAGTAAACCCCATAGAGTCCCACTAAACAATAACAAAGCCAAGTGTATATTCCAGTAACAACTAGAAAACAGTTATACAGCCTGAAATAATATCCAAGAAGCAGTCAAAAGTCAGTCGGTCAGCTGCGACGTAGAACTTCGTAAGTATCTACATCAGTTCAAGTTGCCATACCACATTAGCACAGAGACGCACAGTGTCTAAAATATTAGCTTCAATAATACTTCAACGCCAACCTAGAGCTCGTGAAGTGTAGACCCGAGAAAATTAGGGTGGTGTCAGATATGGACGTGGATGTATGGACCACATATTCACACTTCGTCAATTCCTGAAACACAGACACACATCCAGACGTTTGGAGACAGTTGTGTTCCTTGACCTTAAGGCGGCACTTGAATTGCCGAGCGTCAGGTTTTGTGATAGTGTCTATCATAAAAAGTTGTATCAAAGAAATACGTTAACCTGATGCAAGCTCTCTACTCTAACACTACAAATCGAATGAGAGCTTATGGCGACGTACGTACGAAGTTCTACGTTGTAGCTGACTGACTGAAATATAACTTGAAAGTAAACTTTTTCAGAGAGCTTTAATGAATATATTACGTTTTGCACGTCCTAACAGAAACAGAAAATTAATGACTTATTAGGTAAACGATCACAAATCGACTGAATAATGAATTCTTCGTAACTTCAATTTGTATTCCGATAGAATGCAAGGATAACTTACGATTCGCTAAACGATGAAAATATATGTTGCATTATAGATCGTAGACTAGCATCTTTACGTTCTTCAGCAGCAGTTAACTCGCTTAGCCATTCTTGCGTCTCTGAGCAAGTGTAACGTTTCACACCTTTGCGCTGTGAAGACAACTGCCATGAGTTTGGAACGCGGGATGCTAGAGATTCCGGAATTTCAATCTGATAACGATTGCGACCGGTTCCCCAATATACAAGCTAGACGTTTCAAACAAGAAATCAGATGAAATGACAAACTAATTGACGAAAAGACTGATAAAAAAGATATTTATTAAATCAAAACATCTAGTGAGTAAGTGAACAGAAAAAAGCATGGGAGGAAAACAGCTGGTGATATTTTTTGTTACAATGAAAATGAAACGTAAACTTAATTATTTGATTATAGATAAAAATGTACTTAAATGCTAACTAGCACATACTTCGACATAAATTGAAAGCGTACATGTGTAACATGAATCAATTCTATACATACATATATTATGTAATGATTAATTGTTTTAGTTTTGATTTTAAAATTATTACTATTTTAATCGCTAGGTTTATGTTAAATCCATTTCCGGTATAGAGTTTTATGTTAATCGTACAATTTTGATAGTTTAAACTACGAGCTTACCTTAGTTAGACTATTATTATAAAGTTACACAAAATACACACTGACACCTGTGAATGTGGTAGTGTCTTGCATAACAAATTAATCATAGAATGACCCAACTTAATTCATCAAATGTAAATGATTTTGTTATCCTTATCCACAACTTTCACTTTTATTATTGAAATCATCAATCAATTATTGTTAAACCACCATTAGAAACCTGGATGCACTGGACAGCCATTCTGTGCTAATATGGGACTCTTCAGTAGTGCGCATTCACGACCCCTGTTTGCTGGAATCGAACCCAGGACCTTCGGTTTCGCGCGCGAACGCTTAAATTCCAGACTACTGAGCCGGCAACCAACGGTGTTAATGTCTAACTTTGATCATACGAATGTTTTGCCCAACCTCACCCACTGTCTTCGGTAGCTACTGCCTACACCTGACAGGAATGAATTCCACCGGTCACGTCCAGTGCTTTCAGGTTTCTAATAATGGTCTAACAATGAATGATTCATGATTTCAATGATGGGCGACAATATCCATAACTCTATGATGAAAAATTATTATTATTGCTATAACATCGCTATTAATCTCCCGAACAGATGACCAATTTATTCACTAGAGTTTATATACTATTATCCACTAAACATTCGATCGAATCTGATAGCCATGTTGTTATTTCTCTAACCCTATTTGACCTATATTCTGTTCTGAACATTTGTGTCACAAGATCATCTAACGTATAAGTTTACTCTGGTTAACATTACATATTAATCATCTCAACGTTAACAATCTCATTTTATCTCACAAATAATCCTGAATTCACGGGTTATCACTTCAATCGATGTATTTACCTTAACCCTGGCCACATTTTAGATAATAAATTGGAACCTGAAGAGAATTTATTGAAAGGAATGTTCTTAGTTGATATATTGGTATTTAAATGTGATGCAGTTCTTTTTAAAAAGTTACAACAATTATTATCCACTGAACAATAATTTGAATAAGAATTGCTTTTTCTCATGAATGTCAGCGAATCATTGACAATAAAGGATATGGAACAAATTTGTATTGATCTCTTAAACTTAGAATACATTAATAAGCACTATCGATTACTGATCAATCGAGTGATCAAATTAATTTCGATTCAATTATTGTCAGTCACTCAGTAACATGAGGACATAAGTTCAGGTTGCCATACCCGGGTCAGTCAGTTACAACGTGCCATACCACATCAGCATAGAGACGCAACTGTCAGTTCAAATCCCAAAGTGGTAGAGATAGTAGAAGTATTAGCAGTAATGGAGAATAATAGGGATCGACGATCTGGTTCAAGAAGTATAATTCAGTGAGATAAATTTAGGAAGAGAAAGATAGAGATGATGAGAAATTCAGAAGGTTAGAATTTGAAAAAACACAAAGAATGGATGCACCTGCCCCATTGCAAATCATTTCGAGTCATGTCATTTAAAGTCTCTAACCATCGGTGACTTTCGTCCCGCGGACCCCAACCAGGTAGCCTACATCTACCAACAGTCCACTTGTCAGTGACTTCATGGAATCGTTTCATGCTTTGGTTTGGCCGACCCTAGCTTTCTTTCAACCTACTCCCACACTACAAAACATAGCTCGATGATGCAGTCGGTGGTTGGGCATACGTAACACATGTCCCATCCACCTTTGTTTACTGTACGATCAAAGTATAATTTTCAGTCCTGTTAACAAAAATCATATCGTACTAAAGTACAAGTTCCAATTAATCATAATTGCTGAAAGGATATTTTCGACAATATGAAAATAAAAAACAAATACACAGATTACTTTTAATTTGTATTGAAGTGGAAGTTTGGACATTATTCAATAAACTATTTACTTACTCTTGTACCGAACGTTTTACTCCATTTCAATAAAAATCTGTCCATATCCTCAACAATCCTCTGAAAGTAAAAACATATTATAAGAATAAATAATATCATGACATCTTCTTACCACATTCAAACTTTATTGCTCTATACTACTTATTATTAGTCAATAGCTTATCTATTTGCATGACATAAACTATATGGTCTGCTGCTGCTTCGCAGTCACAGTGGATTATCTAATCCATCAATTTGCATTTTTTTATTTCAATGTTTATGTCAGTCTTATCAATTTGTAACGGTATTCTACTTAATGCACTCAATGTTCATCCTTCTTTGGAATCTGTACTCGATGTAAAGAGGAAAAACAGACAGTGGCAAACAAACGGAAACTTATTTCGTGAACACTGTTGCACCTAATTTGAAGTTTGCCAAATACTAGTATTTATTTTTATTTCTCTCTTTTCCTATAAATTTTAAGCTTTAGTTTGATGTATGATTCACTCTTATACTCTTTATTATTCCAAAATTATTGTAACTTAAACATAACCCCGTACTCTATTTTTCTGCCGCAAACGCCCAATTTGGACATAATCGTATTTTGCTATTACTTCGTGCGTTGCTGTCTTGTTGAGTATATATTCATGCTTATGTCTTTTTTTCTAATCGAATCACGAATAAATCGAATAGTGTTCCAGCTGATTGATTTTTCTTCTTTCTCGATTGCTAGCCTGTTCGGTGATAGAATAGGTTTTTTGCCTAAACCCATTTAGTCACATCCATACTAGCACACTACTAGTCTCAAGGTTAATTAGACAGCCACCTATCGCGTCTCAGCCCTTTAACTAAATGTTGACATATTCCTTTCCTGTGGGCAGACGGTTCAAACTCTCGTCACGTCAATGATCCTAATACTTAACGTACAATCTCCGTAACTAAATTCAATCGAGTTCCTTTGATATGGTTAGGCTACACATTGTTATTTTACATTTGATACTGTTGTAAATTATCGTGATAAAAGGCAGTGATAAAACACAATACATATAGTTTCCATAATAAACAGATAATATACAAACAAAACCTATGCATAAATAAAGTACTAAAGGTAAATTGACAAGTTATAATAATAATAATAATAATAATAATAATAATAATAATAATAATAATAATAATAATAATAATATGGGTACCAACCTTGATTTCTGACACTGATTCATCATATTCAGGATCAATGCCAGGTTCTGGAGTGATTCGACCTTCATTCTTAGCTTTTTCAGCATCGAAAGCATTCTATAAAATATATATATTACATGCAGAGAGATCAGACTAGTTATTGAAAACTATAGTTATCCGCTGCCTAATATTCATTGTTAACTTCAATTCCAACCGAATAATAAACTAGTGAATGAGTTATTAAAAAATGGTATAAGATAAATCAACTGCTGAAAATTTTTTTCAAGAATCATGAACAGAGAAACTAAAACTTTAAATACCTGAATCTCTGTGTTGCTGAAGAGATACAAAGAAAACCGAAAATAAGCTTATTCGTTATGGATATTATTAGAGTAAATGAAAAACAAACTTGTTACATTTAATATAATGATATTGTGGAGAAATGGTAAGCAAGAAAGTCCAGCAACTATTTAAAAAAAAAGAAAAGATAAACGGCTGTATACAACACGGAGTTTGAACGGAAGACAAACAGAAAATGCTAACTGACACAGCCAATTAGTAAACTAAATTATGCGGAGACAGACATACTGAAACAGGGTATTGTATGACATCATCAGCGAGGTAAACTCAAAAAAAAATCATATACAGTAAAAACAGGAATGGCGTTATTTAGACATTTGCGCTATAAGAATTGGTCTTTATCTCTATAACTGCTTCTATTGCGAATCGAACAGAAATAAAATGTTCGTGTACGTATATACTTTGTCGATTATTAAATGATGTTTAAAACAATTAGTCCCTTTTATAAATTTTGATAGAACAGTGAGAAGACTTTATTGATCTGAAAAATGTGATGTATTTGTGCTACACATTTCGAAAAATCTGGTCACACATATTTACTTGTCAAGACATTTTATATGAAGATTAATAAAAGGTCGATTAAAGTTCAAATAGGTGATAATTGTAAATAAAGGATAGAGAAAATTAACGTAATATGGAAAGAATAAGAAAGGGTAGGAAAATTGTCATATTACCCTAGGCTTAAATATTACCACGGTAAATTCAAGGTTATAACAAATTGTTTCTGTACACATAAGGAGGGTTTTAATTTTCACATATGCATTTTCAAACATTTTTTGGCTTGAAATCATTCCGATAGACTGAAATGATTAGTACTTGTATAACTCATGCTTAGTTGTCGCCTATGCCGGGACAAGGTAAAGATTATGTGTGAAAAAGCTAAGGATAATCAGAACAAACGACAGAATAAATCCACCAATTCATTTACGACAGATTCGTCTCACATAAGAAAAAGTAGATTTGGTCTTCGGAAACCCTGTCTCAACGTTGGAAAACCGTTGTAACCATACTTTATTCCCGCTAGGATCTTCAATATATTACGATATAAAATTAATTTCTTTCCATTCCCAATCTGACAGTGCTACTGTTAAGCATTTCTAAGCGGTTAGATAGCAATATATGATAGGATAGTGGGGAAATGGAGAGAATAAAAGTAGCACTAAATTTCGTACCTCATTAATTTATGCAGCGAGTGAATACACTGAAATGAGTTATGTTGATGTAAGCCCGAGTGGCAATAACTAGCGAGCATCTGTCTAGAAAAATAACCCATAGTTTCATTTGATCAAATGTGACAGTTCGACTCTTCAACCTACATCAGTCAGTCAGTTGCAAAGTAAAACTTGATACTTACGTACATCAAGTTGAATTGCCATGCCCCAATAAGCCAGAGAGATGAGATTATCAGGTTATTGCAAACTATTATGAGCTGTCTCATTCAAAGTCTCTAACCAATGGCTACGATCATCACACAGAGCTCAGCCCGATAGTCTGTATCTACATAATAATTACAATATATCTCTTATCACTAGTTCAAAAATAAAGCATATAAAAAAGCATACGAAATTAAATAGTTGGTAAGAAAGAAAACAATCTGAATAAGTCAAAAGACCGATAAAAAAATTTCCGCAATTGAAACCATACAGCTACGAAAGCTAATAAAATATATTTTTCAAACATACCTTGAAATAATTAATTTTTTCACTGATATCAGGAAAGTTGCCACCCGAATTAGTTAAGGTTACCAAGTTTTTTAAATATGCGGAACTGAAAATTATGCATTAAAAATATACATCAGTCTCTGAATATATCTGATGACTAAAAAACGATAATACAATTTTTAGTAGTGTAGTCAAAAAGAATACGTTGAAATGATGCAGTACTAAATTTTAAAATGAAAGTATCATAATACCCGACCGAACTAATTCACAAGTGATAAAAATAGTCAACATATACATCTAGATAGACGTCACTGGATAAGCTCGTGAATTCGATAAACATTCAACGCAGTAGAAACTGTTACATGCCAGTAAAAATGACCAACTAAGTTCAGTCAAAAGAATAGGTAAAGTTATCTTATCTATTAAACAAAACATAAGGTGTTCAAACGATGGCTTGTTGGAGTTATTACTTATGACAGAGTATGTAGTTATTGGAGATACATAGAAAGGGCACACTTTTTCCTTCATCCGATGAATTTCCAGGCAAAAGAAATCATTTTTAGAGATCTAATCTTGCATCTGTATTAAACAAAATCAACAAAACACAGAAAGTTACATTTTAACAAACTGATTTCATTGTAAGATATCGGGTACATTTATCCAGTAAAAAAAGGTTGTCATTAGCTTATTGTGCTCACAGAAATTAAGTCCATAATTTAAACAAAAAATTGTTAAGTCAAGTTTATAAATGATCCACGGTGTCACTTTGTACAGATGGCAAATAAAGTATTTCTGTTAGGTTCGTCATTAGGTATGCTTGAAACTATTATGGGTTCACCTTAGTCGATAAACGAGGGCGAGACAATGAACCAGCGCCTGGGTAAGCTATTCTGATCCGTTGACCCCAAACAGCTAACGAGAAGTCTTGATATAGAGTAGAAAGTATATTCTACAAACCCTCAGAGAACACAATGATCTCAAGCATACGAATCGCGATTATTTATACATCATAGAAACGTCTTTGAGACAGTCACAAAAATAGCACACTAAAATACACAGCAACCAATCACAGACAAGGATTCTCCTGGTGGGAAATGAAATCTCAAGGTCAACTGATCAGCCCATGCTCGGAAACATAAAATCCAAAATTAAGGCATTTATCAAGCGAGTTCTGGGGATTTAACGTCCCCAACAATTTTCAGTATTCTATATTAAGTTGTTTTGTTTAACTGACGAATAGGTTGTGCTTTTTATTTTGAAAACTCTTCTCTCTTAACTGAAACAAAACTTCACTTTTTTCCCCGAAATAAGCTAATTCACGGGGCGGATAGATTTGATAAAAACATCTTTTGCAGGTGAAATTTAAAAGAAAACGCATTAGAAGACTGAGAATATACTAATTTGTATATCTAGTAATAGCATCAATAATTTAAAACTTACCTTAATAAAGAATGGTTGATTTCATGGATTATGTTGTAGCCTAATTCGAAACCATTTAAAGTGGCCACAAAATCAGTAATATTTTTTCTTGAATATTGAACTTCTTCAAATATGATTGCTCTGCTATCTGGATGGTTTTTATCACCTTTAGAACCTAATAAATGAATTCTATAGAAAAAATATTAAAAATTCCAAACTGTTCTGATTCAATTATCATTTCAAAAAATTAGTATTTTTTTCCTGGTAATAAAAATAAAAATCAGTGTATTTTCAAAGTACACAGTAGATTGGTTTAAAAGCACAATTTAACCCTTTAAAACTAACGAAAAAGCTTACTTTGTAATAAGACGCTCCAAATCAGGTAATTGGCCCAATTTATCTCGAAGTTTAGGAATTACATCACTGATGGAAATAAGATTTTCAATCGCCAATTGTCTTTGTTTTATAACATTTGGGTTGCATGGTGGGGCGGTTATCCACTGACGCAACAAACGACGTCCTTAGAAAAAAATCATATTGTAAGAAAACAATATTAAATATGTGAGAAACAGTAGCTAATAAGAGTCTTTTCAATATCAGCTACATATTTAGGGTAACAGTGGTAGTTAATTCTGACAGGTGCAAGTGGAACGAAATTACTATTTTAATAGATTTTACAGATTTTATAACAGAAAAATCAATTGAGCTAGTAGCATAGTAGTGGTAGTAGACGTAGGGAAAATATTTTTACAGTAGAGTGGGTTTAGCGCATCATTAGAGATTTCTGATTGGTAATAAATGATTATTTCGATTATTACAATAGTTATCATCTAAATAAGCAAACTAGATTTTTTTAAAGTTATTATTGTTAATTTTGAAATCATGTAAACAATATTTATAACATTCAGTACTCTAAATGGTCAAACATAACAACATAATATATTTGCTCTACGAAATAAGACACTTTTACACAAATGAATCTATTCTTGTTAGTTTATACAAAATAAGGTTCACCATGGTATTTTTTTAGTAGGTTGTGGTCAATATTTTTGACTACTGTAAAACTACAATCTCAAGTGTTTTCGTTTTATAGTGTCGACGACACTATTAATTGTGTATTGTAATGAATTATCCGAATTACTTTTCATTTTCCTCTCGAGTACATGATGACAAAATGTCGATACTCATACTTTCAGTGGATTTTTCCGCTGTCTTTCTCTTTCTCTTTGTTTATTTGTAATCTATACAGGCTTTGATGAGTCCAATTTCTAGCTATGAATGAGAATGATCATAGGCTAATTGTATATATGGTTATAGATTTTTTCAAGTGATTGTCACATACAGCTTTTGAACACTTACATTAAATGACTCACATTTATACATTCAGAAAGATATTCGACAATCCGACATGATCGAACAATTGTTTAGAACATTTGTTTTGTGTGACATTATTTTGATTATTTCTCTGAAGCTTAAACTAAACCGAAAAGTGAAACGTTGTAGTTATTCAATTTAAATGTTAGTGATTTTTACAAACAGAATTTAATTTTAAGTATCTCCCACGCAGTTGAACTGCAAACATTATGAAATTGCCGCTTCAAAACTCAAAGACATTTTCAATAGCCATTTCTTTTTATAAGTTACTTTTATTCTCATATTACAAAGAAGGTCATATTAAACACAAAACAATGACATACCAAAGAAGGTGCAACAAGTATTGAGACGTTGCAACAAGGAACCCTCTTGAGAACCGTCCATGTTGTTGCGTATGATATCCAAATTAGATAATGTAATATTGTCCAGAACCTACATATATGTGTTTATCCATACGATCAAACAGTTACCTCAACAGTAAATATACTGAGTAATATAATGTATTGAAATTAAAATAAAAAATATGTAAGGCAGTAAAATTCGACCAGCTTATTTCCTTCAAAAACACCCTTCGTAGAAAACTATCGACTTCAATGGTCAACAATTGGGCTGATATTATAACATACAGTAAAGTCCATTCAGTATGTACAAAGGCAGTAGTAATCTAAAAAATGATATTAAAATTTTCCTACATTTCTTTGGAACAGCTATGACACACTAGCAAAATGTTTAATATACTGCATGGTTATACTGGCTGATATTAGTCTAGTGAACAAACAACAAGTCAATAAATGTGAGGTTTTAATACTTCTTCAAAAGTCTACAAAGTAGAACTTCGCAGGTACGTACATTAGTTTAAGCTACCATACCGCATCAGCACACAGACGAAACTGTCCGTTCAAATCCCATAGTAGTATAGGTAGTAAAAGTATTAGCAGTAAACAAAAAGATTATTGATAGAGTATATCAGTCGAGATGTATACCACAGAGGAATCGATTTTAAAAAAGAAAAAACGGTCATGAGCGATTCAGAATATTAGGATTTGAGAGAAGCCAAAGAATAGATGCACCTGCGCCGTTGCAATCGATTTTGAGCCATGTCATTCACGACGTCTAACCATCGATTAGTATCATCTCGCGGAACCCAACCACGTAGTCTACACCTAACAACACTATTCAATCCAGTTGTCAGTGACTTCGTCGATTTGTGCCATGTTTTCGTTTGGCTACCCTTAACGTTCTTCCAACCTACCCGTACACCGCAAAACATGACTCGATAAAGCAGCCAGTGGTTAGGCAATCGTAACATATGTCTAAACCACCTCAACTGATGAAGTTTCAATATTTCACCAACTAATCTGCCATACTAACCTAGTACTGGTTTCCTAACAACAGCAATGTCCAGTTGACAGTCAAAAGATAAGTGAGGAATGCTTCGAAGACACCTATGATCGAAAATCAGCAACCTACGAATATCTTCCACTCTTACTGTCTATGTTTTGCAGCCATAAAGCAGGATGCAGCAAACTTCTGCGCAGTAGACTCGTCCTTTGGTTAGCAGACGGATATCCCGCCTACGTCAAAAATGACGCGATTCGGCAAAAGTCAATCGAGCTTTCTGTATCTATGCTGGAATTTCGTCAGACACCAGGCTATCAGCAATGATGAGACTCTAAATATAAGTAAAGCGGACGACACGCCCGACTACTTCACGTCCTATCACTAGTTCAGGTACCGATGCAACCCTATCTTGAAGCAACATTTTGCATTTCGAGGAGGAAAACCGCATCCCGAACATGCTTGCATTGTTGCTTAGGGTGGTCAGAAGACTCTACATTTTGTCAGCGTCTTCACCGAATAGAACTATGTCATCGGTATATTCCAAGTCAATGAATCACCTGGTAGGTCTACTCTTGGAAAGTCAGACGAAGGTAGAGTCAACTCTAAAAGCATATTAACGACAAAGTTAAACAAGAATGGGGAGAGTGGACAGCCCTGACGGACACCACCTGAAGTAACTATTTCCGATGACAGTTCGCCATATGCTCTCACTCGACCAGTCGTGTTCGAGTAGAGAGCTTGTATAAGGTTAATGTATTATTTGGTACACATTTCAAAGAGAGACATTGCCACAGAACATCACGATCAACAGAGACAAATGCCGCCTTAAGGTCCAGGACGAAAACTGTTGTCGGACGCCTATAGGTGTGTCTGTGTTCCAGGACATGTCGTAGTGTAAAAATGTGGTATACACATCCACGTTCAGGTCTGAAACCAGCCTGGTTTTCTCTAGTCTGCTCTTCACGAGCTTTCGGTAATCGTCGAAGTATTATTGAGCTCAATATTTTAGAAACTATATTAGTGAGACCTATTCCCCTGTGATTGTTACCAGAAGACTTTTGTCCTTTCTTGTAAATTAGGACAATTAGCCACTGAGACAAGTCAGATGGGATTACACCCAGTTCCCAGATTCTACCTAGGATCTCGTTCAATCTAATTGCTAAAACTGGACCACAACCCTTAAAATCTCAGGGATTAATCTATCAGAACCTGCTGCTCTACATCGCTTTAGATTTCCTATGGCTTCCTCAACTTCATAAAGACTAGGAGGATCCAAATCAATTTGCCATTCAGGATGACTGGAGATCGCAGGCAACCGAAGTGTGGCTGAAGGCCAGTTGAGCTGATCGCTTAATTGTTTTTCCCATCCATCCAATCTCCTGCATTGAGTATGAATGATACAGCCATCTTTTTCTGAGATAGTTTCGCTAACAGATGGATTTCTAATACCGGTTTCCTTTACAAGTTGGTACAGTTTTCTGCTGTTGTCTATAGCCGCTGCTTTTTCCATCGCTTTTGCATTCACCACCCACCACTGTTCGCGGTCGATGCGCAGGCTTTTTATCAGCCTGCGCTTAAGCTGACTTAGTTCTTCATCATGTTGAGAGCCAGGTAGGATAAGTTTTCGAGCATCAATCAGTTCGGTAGATGCTACTGAGATCCACGGCTTCTTCCTAGCATTATAGTTTACCTTACTAGCAGATATCACTGCTGTTTCCACAGCCTTTCCAAGCTGCCTCCGGATGGGAATCGCTTAAATGGTCGTCTAACTCTCTTTCTAGTTGTTCCTGAAATATATTCTTGGCTCTGTTATCACTAAGTAGAACCCTAAAAGGTTTCCTCGTGGTGTCTTTCCTACGTCCAGTGAACCTCAAACAAATACGCGCTCGCACTAGAGCATGATCTGAATCTAGACATGCTTCCCACAACTAGCGACAGTCCTCTATCGAACCCCTCCATTGGTGGCTGATGGAGATGTGATCTAGTTGAGTCCAACGTTGAGACGACTTTGGGGGTCGCCAGGACAAGAGATGCTTTTTCTTATGCTTAAAGTTAGTGTTCGCTAGGAATAGGCGGTTATCTGAGCACAGTTGCAGCAGACGGTAGCCATTACCTGTTCATTGGGCCGCGACACCAAAAGATCCACCTACATGCCTTTCCTTTTCACTGAGTCTACCTACTTGAGCATTAAAGTCACCACCCATTATTATTATATCAGAGTGCCTAACTTTTTGGAGGAGGTCCGAAAGCTTTCTGTAAAACTCATCTTTAACCTCGTCTGAACTGCAGTCAGTGGAGCATAGGCAGATACGACGAAGAGGCAACGGCGAGTGTCCCTATTTTTACGAGTCCTTACTGTTCCGTTTAATCGGACAGCGCACAAGCGACTATCTAGTGGGATCCAGTCTGAGAGAGCTAATTCTGCCCTAGGACTCGATGCTATACCTACACCAGCGAGACCCCGGAAAGCAGCAGCAGAGAGGCTTCCAGATACACAAAGAGTAAACCGAGTTGATTCTCTAACTGCACAAGATGAAATTAAATTAATTATTTTACTTGGATCTTGTATGCCCGTTTCAAAGATGCAATACGTATCGACGGCACAGGATTCCAGAGTGCTAGCTAATGAAGCCTGTTGCTCTATTTGACACAAGGTCTGAACATTAAAAACTCCAATGTGTAGTTTGCAGCTGGCTTTCGTGAGCTCGAAACGTTTGCTTAAGCGGCGCGAGGTGACAAAGGAACGAAGGAAGGGTTGGTAGTGAAGATAAGAGAGTTATTAGGAGGTGTAGAAAAGATTTGATTGTGACCGATTCTGTCTCGTGTGCTTTTATGGGTATGAGGGCGGATGTTGCTTCTTGGCCGCCCACACCGTAGATAAGCTCTGGTTGTCAGAAGGGGCATCGGCCTCCTGACTTCCGAAGGAACTTGACTTTTGTCATGAGACGTCATAACTCTTCTAAATAAAGACTTTCTAACTCCCAGGGCAGAGTTTATGTGGTTTGAATCGTTCTTTCTTGTTAGCGTTTTTTAGCGAGTTAGTTTTCTACGGGATGGGCTCGCCAACTCTAATCCCAACCCTCCTCTTTTATCCGGGCTTGGGTCCGACAGTAGCCCCGGAGGGCCTCCAGGTTGTTTCTTCAATAAAAAAATTGCCATCAATAACTTGTTTTTTATTGTGAAGATAAAGTAAAAAGATAAACGTTTGTTGTATTTGATTTGTTGAAAAGACCATTGATGAGAGAGAAAATTCAGTAGTTTAAGATAGAGACTTCACTGGATTGCACGACTTAAATACAATAACAATTTAGATATACTTCAGAATTTTAAACTTACCATCTGGGATTGTGTGTTATAAAATAATTCAACAGACTCTGGATTTCTTTGAGAGTTGGCATTCTTTACATCTACTGGTACATATACATCAATAAAACCCAGTGATAGTACTTCTCGATCGATCAAACAGTAACGTAGGTAGTAAATAATTGCACCAAGACACCGAAATGCTAGTTCCCATTCTGACTTTACAGTACGTCCTAGGGGGTCATCTAATTCGAAATAAATGAAAAGCTATTTATTACAAACACTTCATGAAGTATTACTGAGTATTTTTGATATAAAATCATTCTAAATGAAATAGTAGTGAATCTCATTTACTTTTGCTGAAAATTCAACACAACTAGAGAAATAGCAAATTAAATCTATCCAATAGTAAAACGCTTATCAAGAACGTTGAGAATCACACTGATAAGAGACGACTAGAACTAAAGTAGGATAGACTGTTATATGAATTTGTGACCAACTTAAGAATTATACTGTATTTATGTCAGTGGAAAACAGAAGTGAAAAATGAGACTACTTGATACGAAACTATAATGTATTGTATCAAGTGATAATTGCACTTCCGATCATTCTGGTAGCCAGCCAACCCTCCTACTACAGTAGGACTTCAAAGAAAAAAAATGTTATGACTAATTTGATATGAACTTGTTCGCAAAGTTTAAAGTGGTAATAACTGTCACCTATCAAATATAATCTACAATCATAGATGTAGATAAGAAAACACTAACATCTATAAATCAAATCTAACTTCCACACTACTAATACTGTTTTTATCTGTGAAAATTATGTTTGAAATAATCTCAGCGATTGAAATTTAAATAATTCCAACGTTTCATCTAGCAAACCTGTCCAGACTTCTTCAGCGTGATAATCAAAGTCAAAATTACCAAAGAATTTTTAACATTTAACAATCAACTCTACATCGAAAGCATATCCAATCAGATTCAGATGTTAACTTTTTAGGTAGGATAATTTGAGTCAGTGAAATGTAAATTATGTGGAAAGTTTACAATGTGAAAACAAATGCGTGTGTGTAATTTATTGTTATTAATAGTTGATATCCGGTGAATAAATATAATTTAGTTGTTTATTTAAAGTAAAAATAACAATGCAATTGGAAATCTTTTAAAAACAATATCTTCTAGTTTCTCGGCGCCCAATTTGTCTAACTATTTGTTCAAATATTGACGAATATTCGTATAATACTTTTCTTTGTTTACATGATTGACCATTACTAATATATGAAACAGAAGTTGCTTACACCAGTAGCTGAACTCGTGTTAGTGCTTGAGGCTTCAAATTTTACTTCATATTTCAGTTAATGATAATCACTATTCCAATTCAAGGAAATTGGGGCGAGATTCGAGTTTTAACCAAATCGTCGGATGTTCAATGTTTTAATGACTGAGTCACCTAAAAGTATTCCTTTTATTACGTATTTTGGTAGACCGTTTTTCAGAATTCAGCTAAGCTTTTTATAAAATGTTACAAGAATGTTGGTCGTCCTTCAATAGAATCAGTTTAAAAAGTGACTAGGTGTACCAGATTCACGGTTATGTATCACGGACGTCTTATTGCTCGTTTATATACTCAAGAAAAGTGTTTGAACACAAT